TGGATTACTTCACTAAGTGGCCAGAAGTCTTCGCCATTCCAAATCAAGAAGCTTCAACAGTTGCAGATAAACTAGTTCATGAAGTCTTCTGTCGTTTTGGAGTACCTTTAGAGATTCACAGCGATCAAGGAAGAATTTTGAGTCTCAAATATTCCAGGAAACTTGCCGAGTTATGGGTACTCATAAAACAAGAACGACTTCTTATCACCCGCAATCTGATGGAATGGTAGAACGATTTAATCAGACATTGGAGAGGTACCTAGCAAAAGTTGTAGACAACCGGCAACGAGATTGGGACAAGCACATACAACCGTTTTTGTTGTCATATCGAAGCGCTGTTCACGAAAGTACAGCAGTGACACCAGCTTTCGCAAACTTTGGAAGAGAATTACGGCTGCCTGCAGACGTGATCACCTGGATACCACCTGATGCCTTATAACCGATTATGCAAATGACTTGCGGAACAAAATGAATGACATTTATGAGCACGTCAGACAATCGGGCCAGCAAATGTCCGAAAAGATGAAAACCCGGTATGACCGCAAAATGAACAACAAAGGGTTCGACGAAGGTTCACTAGTGTGGTTGCACAATCCAGTCCGCAGCAAAGGGAAATCTCCAAGCTTAAAGCTAAATGGGACAGCCCGTACCGGATTGTGACCAGGATCAACGATGTAACCTACCGGGTACAGTCTCCTCAATAGAGACTCCTAAGATCGTCCATGTGGATCGACTGGCGCGTTATTATGGGACCGATAATGCTCGGGACGAGCAGTTCTTAGGAGGGGGCAGTGTTGCGCGCCTAAGTTGACGTCAGGTACCTGGCACTAGCGCCATCTAGTGTCGGGGACCAGAGCGAGGAGGGATTCCTAGAAAATGTCAATCTTGACTTTCGACCAACAGCGCCATCCAGTATCGAACAGAATAATTAAGCTTTCTAGAAGCCCCACACTCGAATTTTCTGCGTCTGGTCGGTCGGCGCCCGTATCCAACGGAATATACTGGATATTTCGGTGTAAAAAGTGTATTTAAAGCCGCTGCATGTCGCGATCGGGGCAGTATTGAATTTGGCGAGACAAGCGAAGCTTCGGAGCGAAATAAAGTGAATCAGTGTGATTAATTATTAGTGTTTTAAGTTTAAATTGGTTTTCGGTGATTAAAGTGTTAATTTTGGTAATTCAATCGGCAGTTTTTATTGTCACGAACCTCAAGCTCGTAACATTATGCTATGGATGTAACTGAAATGAATTAATCTAGCGGTCTCGACACTAGAGAAACTCTAATATTTTTTTACAGCATAAGCTGCAGTTTAGTCTGCATGCTAGTTTGGATATGTGCTTAGCAGATTTGTATCGAGAGTGATGCCAAGAAAAATAGTGATACAACATTATTCACTTCGTCACGTTTATATGATTGACGTGCAAGTTTAAAACTTATGGAAGTATCATCCAGATGATTTTTAAACTTAAACATGATATAGTAAATTATGAAATAGTATTATTTGCTGATGAATGTCATCAGCAAATAATATATAATAATACTATATCATGATATCCTCTACAACGGAAGCTAAGTCATTAATATGGACTAGAAATAGGAATGGGCGGAGAATTGAGCCTTGAGGGACACCCATCAGTACAGGTGACCCGAAAGAAATTTTACCCTTGATAATAACTTTCTGCCTTCTATTACTTAAATATGAAATAATTAGATTAAACGCTGTGTTCTTGCCACCATAGTACTGTAGCTTCCTAATTAATTTCACATGGTGAACACAGTCGAAGGCCTTGGAAAGGTCACAAAATTTACCCAAAACATCCTCTGAATTCTACCATGCACAAAAAATATGTTTAATAAGCTCAATTCCAGCGTCAGTTGTCAGGCGACCTCTTGTAAAACCAAATTTATTTTTATGAAGCAAATTATTTTTTTAAACTACTTAACATCTGATCTAATGTTTTTTTTTTTAATCTCTACTATCTGTCTGTACTAAATTGGTCTAAAACTGGCGAGGTTTAATGTACTACCAGATTTAAATAAAGGTATGACTACTATGCTTCATTAAAGCCTTGGATATACTTGGGGACAAAAGGAACGCCATGTTGCGCAACATGTCGCTCAACAACAACCTTTAATGTCCCGAGACATGTGTCGCGGAACATTTTGCAGGCCATACTAGTCAATCTTTATAGAAATGACGCCCGAGAAGGTTGTGCCGATTAGTGCAGCGTACATAATATTTACTTCGGGAGTGAAACGTAAGCAAAATAGAAGGTGGTGGATGCGTAATTTCTTACTACAACGAGAAGAAAGAAGAATAAATATTTTAAGTGACCTCCGAATGTCTGACGAATCTTTTGTAATTTTTTTAATGTCAACATCTGATTTTGAAAATTTATTAATGTTGTATATGTATGTAACTAATGATCGGACCTTCCATAGCTAAACAGGATACAATGGGTGCGTTTGGCAGAAAAAAGCGCTCGCAAGCGCTTGTAAGCAAAATGGCGATCGTAAGCGGTAAGCGCTGTCAAATCGTAAGTAGCTATTTTCCTCTAGGACACGAAGTTAGTTTTAACCGGGGAACCTAACCTAATTTAAATATATGTTTGTAAAGTATTCATACTAAAAACTTACTAATCATGAATTTTTAATAACATGTATAATATGTTTATTAATGTCATTATATTAATTAAAACTAATATTGCACAAAACAACTTATAAAGTCTACTTAAAAACAAACAAATTAAATAAGCAAAATGGCGGATTGTGTCAGCGCTACTGAAGTTAGCAAACGTGTCCTGGCCGAAAACCGTTTAGTTTCCCCATTTTGCTTACAAGCGCTTGCTAGCGTTTTTTACTGCCAAACGCACCCAATACTACGGAACGCTGTAAGCCCTCATATCAGAATTTCCATGGCATTAAGATACTTGTTGACTGGAGATTCTTAAGCTTCCTTGTCATACACTTTTCGAATGTCGAAACAACTGATCGGTAGAATAATACCAGAAGTTTTTAAGGAACTGATAAATAAATTGAAGATATTGTTGTGAAGGTAAGATAAAAAAAATCATATATTCTTAACAATTTTATATTTAATATCAATGTTTGCAATTATATTATATTGTGTAATATGCGCCTTAGAAGGTTCCGGGCTGATATCAGTGGATACACTACTATAACCCTGTCCCAAAGTCGACCGATTCTGCAGCTTAAACGGTATTTTTCCAAACGTGCATCAGTCTAAATATTAATGTAATATTTAACCATAATTATGCTATATTCGTCATTTAATGCACGTAACTCTGATGCTACATACTGTCCATAAACATCAAATTTATCTCGGGACATCATTCTGTTTTTAGCAGCATTCATAAATTCATAAGCCCCCTCTTATTTATCTTCATTAGGGTGGATCCGCTTGCGAGTTTTCCGAAACGATGATGGTGTTGGTGCTGACTTTGTGGAATACTGCAATTGCTCAATAGTGGACTGCGATTCTAGGTGGTCAGGAGAGATTCCCGAACGGTAGACTGAGACTCTAGAACAGCATCTTCATCCGGAGACGTAGGAATCTTGTCTTGGCTTTGTGGGCTCTGAAAATGAGAATTCAATAAATCAATATTATTATTATAAATATAGATGTTTGAAATAATACATTACATACTTAAGTATTATAAAATAATTTCCGGATTGCGTTGCATCTATAGACGATAAACACGTTTTGAAGCTCCTTCGAATTCTGGAAGTGACTACTACAACTACAAAGAACAATTTATTATTATCCCATTGGCTATTGTGGATGCAAACTATAATTTTATCTATGCAAATTGTGGTACTAAAGGAAAATCTTCTGACAGTGGAGTATTACAAAAATTGCTTTTTATAAATCTTTGACTAATAACCAACTCAACGAGCCAAACCCAGACCTAGAAAACAGAAAACATAATGAATCCATATCCCGGTAATCAAAACATAGGGACAACAAAGCGCATTTTCAACTATTGACTGTCAAGAGCTAGAAAAATTGTCAAAAGCGTGTTCGGAATCTCATGAGTTCTATTTCATATGTTCCGAACTTGCATAGCCCTCCGACCTTGAAGTTGAAGTTGTTATAATGGCGTGTGTACCTATATAAATTTTTAAAGCGAAATAGTCAATAGAGATCACTGTATGGAACCATTCTGAAAATATGGATCTTGAAATAAAAAATAATCTTGGCGCAGAGTAATGTGTATGTTGAATTTAAATGGTATGGGAAGACGCTACAATCAATCTGCTATGGAAATCAGACACAGTTTTGCCGAATATTTCATGACTGAAAATGGAAGAAATTCCCTGGCAGAATAATTTTTAAATAAATAAACGTGTAAAACATTTTTTTATATATATATACACTATGTATTTTTTTATATATTTTTTTTTGTAAAAACTGTTATCAAAAATGACATGTTTCTTATAAAAAGTCTAGTGAATTGTTTTACTTTTTGTATGTGTGTTTGTTTTATACGTGGTAATGCCATGCTGCAGCTATATTAGTAGTATATTTGTAGCACGAATAGGTCGGCTCGACCGGAGAAGGACCACGCTCTCACAGCTTAAGGCTGTTGCGTCTTATGGTGAGTGTTGTGAACCGGAAAGCCTTTTTACTGGAAAAGAGGTCTTCCATCTTAGACCTCACGGGTGACAACGCATCTGCATTTTGATTCTTTATTGAAAATAGATTTAGATGTCATTGGGTCATAGCAACCACTTACTATCAGGTGGACTGTGTGCTCATTTATCACCCTATCCTATGACAAAAGTGTACATAGCTAAGAACACTCCCGATTAAATCGCCTTACAAACAAAAAAATGACATCCAAATCTGTTCACCCGCTTGGGTAACCATATTTAGCTACGATGCCACATATATTGTGTACACATATACCTTTATTTCTCGTGCTCATCCGCAGATAGACAGACGGACGGACGGGCAGCGGGGGTTTAGTAATATGGTTTTATTTGTACCCTTCAAGTACAGAACCCTAAAACATATAAAATGATTTAACACATTATAAAAACAAACAATTATATAATAATAAAAACATGACTTACGTGTGTGTCCAAAGTATCCAAGTCACCACAAGTTGTCGGTCCTTTCATCAAAAACTTCATTGCGTCATACGCAAACCATGCACTGGACTTCACGTCATTTCTTCTGCTATCAGTAGTTTTCAAAGATGTTATTTTCTTTCTTTCACGGATAAATTACGAACGGGGGGCATGTACTTTGGTTTCAATTTATTTTCTGGGTAATTTAAGCGCCTTGGCAATATCCTCGAACTTTTTCTTTGTTTTATTTCGATAATCTCGGTTCGAAGTATCTCACAGTAAAACATGACTCTGATATAGCGCAAGAAGTAAAAGGTTTCGTTTCCCCACACTACAACATGTTGCAAGGCACGTTGTGCATACGACTACACCCGGTAACAAAATGGCGCGAAACTGACGCGGGACACGTGCGCTCGCTCCCGGAGCGGGAACAACGGAACAAGCAACATGTCCCGCGTCACGTAAAATGTTGCGGGTCACTGTTCAACGTTGCATCGTCACGTAGCTTGAGTGTTCCGCGTCATGTTGCGGGAATAAATGTCCCCTAGTGTATCCGGGACTTTCGCCTCCATTAAGGCTGATTTACACAGGGTCAGTAACATACGCCAGTGCTGGCGCTGAGGACTAACTCGCACTGTTCACACGCAGTCGGTAGTCGTGGTAACTTTTTAAAGGTGCGAACGTGCGTACGTTATTGAAGTCAGTAGGCAAACATTGTATTTACGGTAACCGCAGAATCTATAACGATTAAAATATTGAATGAGAAAAATTTCCTATCTGCTGTGGAAAGAGTTGATGGAGATGTTAAAAGAGATATGTAAAAAGAATCGTCTTCGGATAAGAAAATAGAAAAGAGCCGAAAGATTTTTGAGGAATTGCTTTAATTGATAACAAGCTCTATTCAACGTCAAAATACATTCATGAGAGATGCTTTGCTAGCCAAAATAAAACTTGAAATAACACTGAGATTTTTGGCTTCAGGAATATCATTTCGGAACCTCAGTCACTTTTATCGTGTATCGAAACCATAATTAATGCCAGAAGTATGTTAGGCAATATATGCAGCAATAAAAATACAAATTAAGATAAGATAGTTATTTATTAGGGATAATCAAAATACTAAAGCAAGGTTTAGACGAAGCTAGTAACGCTGACGCCAGTCCACAGACAAGCCAGCGTTGGCCTGGCTCGTGTTTTTTAGATGAGGCCAAATGGATTAATTTCATTCCTAGATTATTCTTGTAAATCGTTGTATAAAATTAATTATGTTTCAAACTAACTGAAAAATAATGTTTATCATATACCTACATATATCAAAAATAGGAATTTGTTGATTAGTAAAATTTTTATATTACAAATTATTTATTCTGGTGCGGGGGTTGCGGAGCACGCGGGTGGAGGTCATTGGCTTGAAAAATAGGCAGGCGCTGGCTTCGTCTAAACCTTGCTTAACAGTCACATAGAAACAAAATAGACCTAAGAATTTTCAAAAGCAAGCCTGGAATTTGGAGCCAGTTACTGTGCCTGTGTAAATCAGCCATTGGGCGATATTTGCTGTAGTTGTCACACTTGGCAGACAGGTTGGCAACCGCAATTTAGTTTATTTTAATATGGAGACGCTGCTGCTTATCTTTTGGTTTATTCCCTCTGTCGCATATGGGGTAGTGGATATTCTTATACCGCCACTACTACGGTCAGTCTTGGATAATTATTAATTAAATTGTAATTAATCACACTCAGTTTGTACAGCTTTTATTTTGTATAAACAGGATACTTCTCTTAAACATCAGTCAGTTACAACTTATAGCCTATATACGTCCCACAGCTGGGTACAGAGACCTGCCCTCGTGTATACAGTATTACATATGAAATTCGATCTAATATTGTAATATTCAATTTCAGTCTAATTGAGAGGCAAAGAGAATTTCTCGTGTACTTTCATGTGCCTATTTAGAGTTCCTCGCTGCGTGAAGCTCTGACTGCACACGCCGCATTTATGCGGTTTTTCACCCGTATGGATTCTATGATGATCATTGAGTCTCTTTTTAGCAGAAAAAGTTTTAGAACAATAAATACATGAGAAGGGTCGTTCTCCAGAGTGAATTCTTTTGTGTTCGACTAGTGACGAACTAGCCGCGTAGGATTTTTCACACAGATCGCATTTAAACTGCTTCTTTCCTTCATGTAATCGCAAATGTCTTACCAAGTTACTCTTCTCTGAGAAAGAATATGTGCATATTTGGCATATGAATTTTCTACCTCTGTGACGTTTTGATATATGAGACAGTAGTACTGTATTTGAAAAGAATTTCTTGCCACACTGATTGCACTTGTGCCTTCGCTCCCGGTTTTCCTCGTGGGTTTCCAAATGAGCCTGGAAAGATAATGCATTCATGTATGTCTAATACAACTATAAATCATATTTAAAATTAGAATATAATTTGTATAGAATAAGTCAGCTTAGAATTTCTCTATACTGTCGTTTTCAACAACCTCTACCGTACCGGGTTATTATGAAATCGCAAAATACGTATTTATTTATTTTTTAAATACAATACGTATCGAGTCAATCGCCCTGTAAAATGTTTTTGTAATAAAATAATAAACTGTAACACACCCTTATTTTACACTCTCAGGGATGAAATTTTCCAAAATGATTTCATAGCGTATTTTTACGTCAAAAAGGTCAGTCCAAATTTAAATTTATTTCAAGCAGTTTAGGTAGTCTCACTCAGTGTAGTTTAGTATCTATGACTCAGTATATAAAGAGTATATTATAGTAGATACACAGTGAACAGTGACATCTGTCGATAAATGGCAAAACTAACTTTACGGCAAATTAAATTTTATTCTGTACGTTTTGACTATGTCCAATATAAATTATATTTCATAAATGTTATTTGCTAACGAAATAAAAATAACTTCTGATATAAAATAAGAATTTTGTATAATTTTAAGTTTGAATACATATACTCAGCCGTGTACCATATTATATTGGTTGTATATTATAATATAGAACCCGCTTCTTCGTTTCCGTAATCGGGTATAGCGTGCGTGATAGATCATGAAAACTATGCCAAACATTGAGTTAAGTATATAAATCAATGATGCCAAATATGACGCAAATCAATGGGGAAGCCTATGTGTAGCAGTGAACTTTAAAATGCTGTAACGGTTATTTGATAACATGCGGGAAGAACCATTCATATTTATTGGAGGAAGCGTTTTGTCCTTTCTATGCCTGTCCGGGGGGGTGAGGGGGGATGATTTAATATCTTCTCCAAAGCCCTCTAGGACATTGGCGGTGTGGTTCGAAAGGAGGGATGCTAGCTTCAAAGCGGGAGTTGAATGGGATATTCTAGATCATTTATTGTGTGGGTGGAAAGGAACGCGCCTATAAATTAGAATGCCCGGTATGTGTAATGGCGGGTGATTATTAGCGCCATCTAGTATCAAGTAAAAGAAATAGGAGCCTCAAGATCGTTCTATAACTTTCCCACTAGCGCCATCTAGTGGCGAGGGTTTTCTGGAGGATTCTTCTGGAGTAATCCAATCGGCAGTATTTATTGCCACGAATCCTAAGTTCGTAACAATATTATGTGTCCTCCATATCTCGTTTATAATGAAGCCTTATCGTGCTTGAAAATACTTAGAGCGCCATCTATATAAAATTATAGTAGTTAATTTATTATTACAGTAAAATAAAAATTATATGATATTCAGAAAAGTACGGGTAGGATTAATATAAAACAACTCAAAATCGGGTACGTAATTTTTCAATTTCACGACAATGTCAATTTTAAAACTTTTGGAAGTGCAAAAGGGAAATATAATATGTTTACTGCCGAGCTTCTATATGATTGATATGATCCTTGCGGAAACCAAAAAAATTGTTAACAGGTCTTTCAAAATTTGATTTACCATGTTGTAGGTACGCGGCTGTTAAGAAAAAAAATATAAGCATTGCTTTTTTAATAAACAATGTGCACAACACCATCTATCGATGACATTGGTTAACTATTGTACTTTTGTAACTAAGATAATAGGATTTATATACTTCTTATAGATATTTATTACATTATTCTTTATTATTTTTGTTTACTGCGTTTAGATACAATTATATCATTATAGAACAGTATTTTACATTATTTTATTACAAAAATGTCCTTGATCACTCAATGTCACCATTGAACAAATTCTTACCTATATTTTGAACCCATACTTCAGAATATTATCATAATTTTTGATGGGATGAACCAATTTTAATAAAACAAAAACTAAATTTATGACGAAACGAAGATATGCTTTACAATTTTCCTAACGATTATTTTGATGTAATTCAGTACTTTATAAATAATACGTTAATAAACAAACTGACAGATAAACATACAGCCAATTCTAAAAATGATAGAAATGTATTCAGTTACTTCTTTTTAGTCCATCGCAATCAATTTTGTTACAAAAATTTAAAATGCACATCTGCAATTTACTTTTTTATTATATGTATACATTATTATATTCGTAGGTACTAAAAACTAGTTAGTAAACCATGTAAAATTTATTTATTACTGAGAATTACTTACTAACCTTTAATACAGTGGTGGACACAAACGTTTTCCCACAAATGTCGCATATACATGGACTGCGTTCACCGTGCGTTTTCTCGTGCATGCGCAGTGTGTGCTTATTTTTGGACGTCTTGCCACAAGTGCGGCACTTGAGGCTGTCGAGGCTAACGCGAGTATGTTCGCTCTCGTTATGCCGCCACAGACCACTCCATGTCATGAAGGTTTTATCGCATGGTGCACAATAAATTGGTACCTAAAATTTTAGATATTGAAAATTCAAAGTCAGGATCGCCTTGTGATTTGTGTGTACATAAAACTAGCTTTTACCTGCGACTTCGTCCGCGTATAACTTAAAACTTCAACAAAAAACTTTCATGGGCTATTGTAGCAGTTTGAGGTATTTGAGCAAGTAGTTCTATTATTGAAAAATTACTTTAAACTAATCTTTTGTCCTTATCTCGATATAATATTTGCGATAGGTTTTTAAAAAAATATCAATTGCAGATCTATTAATGTTACGTAAAGAGGTATTCATCACTCATAAGATTTGGTCGATTTCACAAAAAAAACTTACATGTTTTTGGGATTAAATATTGTAATGGCCTATATCGCTCTTGGTGTTGCTCTCTTTATCTTACCTTTTTGTGAAATTTCATCTATTTAGAAAATTAGGCCAGGCAGACAGACAGACAAAAATCTTAAAAATGGTTATTCGTAACTTAATAAGATGCAGTTATTATTATATAATTCATTCATCAGACACTTCAATTTTACTTATATGCATAAATGAGATAAATTAGTAAAATTAATCCCAGTAAACTTACTTCTTTACCCTCATGCTCCAATTTGTGTGCTTCAAACCGTTCGGGGTGGCTAAATATTTTCTTGCACAACTTACATGAAAATATTTTCGGCTTCTTTGATGTGGATAAATTTATTTTTGACACCGATTTAACAACCAGTAGGCCGGACGTGACTAACTTTTTTAATCTGAAAAAAATTAAAGTGATCTTTATAAAATGTTAACTTGAGGCTCATGGACGATAAAGTCGCAGGTCTGACAACCCTATGACGCATTTACAGAGGCGACACGGATACAGGTGACCTAGAATGGTGATTTTTTTTTGCATTGGACTTGTGATGGGATATATTATGATCACCCTGATACAACGATACATTGCATAATATGCTTTTTATAAACTTGGATGCTGACAAATCAAATGATACTTATTTCAGGTTAAACATTTATACCCTGTTCACTTAAGCATGAAATTTTGAATAAACGTCGAAACAGTATTTCTCAAACCATTTCCACCTAATTAGTACTTGCCCTACGATTTTGTCTATGTTTTTTCAATTTTCTTTTGTACTAATTAAGTATATTTATGGTATAAAAGGTACATAAAGATTTTTATTTTGTTATTAATTTATCTGTCCAGGAATTATTGTTCAGTAATAAAATTATCTACTAATGCATGTATTGGGCTTTATCTGATATTTTTGCTCCTCCCTTTATCTCTCTTGTCAACGCAACATCCAATTTCAATTAAATCAATATTTAATTTCAAATTCAAATCTAAGTTGGAGAATACATAAAATTTTAGGGATTTTTAGTATACAGGAATCATGTAATTTTTAACAAACGTTACATTGCTTTTTTTGCACTTCTACACATTAAATATTTTTTATTTGCACATTTCAATTATCATAATATCATTACATAAAATCTCAAGCTAAAATTAACAGAGCACAGAATGATACATATACCTATATATTATATGATCATATTATATCATTCTTTGTCTTACAGAAGCTGTAATACCAAATATCGTATGGCTATGTTATCTAATGTTCAAAAAATAACAAAGCTTGAAACACTTTTATAGAATCAGAGTGACAAACAAGCACACAAACCACCTGTTGGTAACTGGAAGCCGTGGCCCACAGACACCTCCATCTTTCCTTGATTAAGATACACAATGAGGATTCGTTGACACCACCGAGGAGTACGATATAATGCCTTGTTGCCAGTAAAAAGGTCTCTGCTTTTCTATACTCACCATACAAAACATAGCAGCATGGCGCAATAGTGTATTATGTGAGAGCATGGTCCATCCCTTTAATAGCCATAACATAGTTGCAGCATTACTACAATGTCCAAATTCTAATTTATTTATTTGTGAAACTGTTGCAGACCAGAGACTATGGGAAATGACACAAACACATTTTAATAATCTAGTTCGGTAGAGCGGTTCTTAAACTTTGTGACCTAACCAAGGTTATGACAAATATGTAAGTTGTTTGCCATTAGTCTTTTTTAGTTAATTTATTAATTAAATTGTTTAAGGTTGAATGAATATTTTAAATTTTCTAATAATTTTATTAATAAATTTAGTTTAGTTTTATAAAATTTATTATAATTTATTATAGAATATTTTAATTTTCTTGTTTATAAATTCTCATTAACTCATCCAGCAATAATTTTTTTAATTATCGAAATCACAGATACTCCTTTATAATAGGTTGACATTTGGTGCGTTTGGCAGAAAAAAGCGCTAGCAAGCGCTAGCAAGCGCTTGTAAGCAAAATGGCGATCGTAAGCGGTAAGCGCTGGCAAATCGTAAGTAGCTATTTTCCTCTAGGACATGAAGTTAGTTTTAACCGGGGAACCTAACCTAATTTAAATATATGTTTGTAAAGTATTCATATTAAAAACTTACCAATCATGAATTTTTAATAACATGTATATGTCTATTCATGTCATTATATTACTTAAAACTAATTTTGCACAAAAAATTTATAAACTCTACTTCAAAACAAACAAATTAAATAAGCAAAATGGCGGATTGTGTCAGCGATACTGAAGTAGCAATCGTGTCCTGGCCGAAAACTATTTCAGCGCTTGTAAGCGCTTGCTAGCGCTTTTTTCTGCCAAACGCACCCATTATTATTATTTAAGTTGAATTAATATAAGATCATGATCCTGATCATGATACAAGTATTACTATATAATATTTAGAATTACCAACCAGAATGGCTAAAAGCTCTGTAGATTATAATAGTGACTGCAGTCCTATTCATGTACATATATCTTATTTTCGATTGGAGAGATCAAGAAATACAGAAGTATGTGAGCAAGGTACTTAAAACAAAAACAGAAACTTTTTAATTCTATATAGATAACAAATAATACTTATAGAAAATAACTTTTTTTTTATTTACCACTGGTTCGGAAAAAACCTCTGTCATGGGAAAAATCAGCAAGAAACCCAACGGGACTTACTCATAAAAACAAAAACAACATAACGGTCAGAACACTGTTGCTAACAAAAATTTAGAATAGCAAAGTCAGTTAATAAAAAACAACAACTTATAATCATGTATGTTACAATTAACACCACATAACAAATTAGAAATAGCTTGGTAGTAATCACACTTCCCAGGGGTTATTATCATCCTTAAATTCCTTAATATTATAAGAACTCTTTTTATACAAATTTAGTTTAATTTTTGCAGGTCAAATTTAAAAAAAGTATATTTTCTAGGATTTTGTTGCAAAAAAGAGAGTTAAGTAACTACTACTACCAGCTTTTGTCTGTTTCTAGTATTTACAGAATTAATATCTAATATAATTCTGTAAATACTAAAATAAGAAATAGTAAGAAAAGAAATAAGAAAAGAAATAGCTAAAATAGAGTAATCTAGCTGTTTACACTGGTAAGACTTCTAATCTTTTTTACAGCATAAGCTGCAGAGCTTAGTCTGCTTGCTAGTTTAGATATATGAGGGCCCCACTGAAGCTTAGCGTCAAGAGGGATGCCAAGAAAAACAGAGGACTATATAATATTAATATAATTTAGTAACTGTTGTTTTAATTTGAAAATTAATGAAGTGATGAGACAAAAACTGCTTGGGGCAAGCGGAGCAACAACACTAAGGCGACCCCATCAGGGGACTTCATTCCAACCTTAACGCTGTCCACTACCATCTGGAGACAGTGAAGTCAGCCTTGCTCATTTTAACAGAGATTCAGGTGTCCTCTCCGGCTGATACTTCATATCTCTCCTACCCGAAGTACAAATTAGAACATTCCTTTGTGCCACGGGCTGGAGTTTGCGTATACGTCAGAGAGGACATCTGTTTTCGTCACCTCGGCAGTTTTAAAGGTACGGTCCTATCCATCCTTTGGTTATGATATCCTATGGCTGCGCATAGACAGCGACGACCATCCCCGCGTCTACGGGTGCCTCTATAGGTCCCATAGCGGTAATACCAAAACACACCGACTCCTTGACCACGTCCAAATGGCTACAGATTCCGTGCTACAGCAGATCCCATCCACAGAGATCGTGATCCTTAGCGATTTTAATGCCCACCGCGCCGAATAGCTCGGTTCACGTATAACCGATGATGCGGGGAGATCTGTTTATGACTTTGCTTTGGCATATGGTCTGACACAACTGGTTACTGCGCCTACGCGGATTCCAGATGTGGAAGATCATACACCTTAGCTGTTGGACCTTCTGCTGACCTCTCATCCGGACGGATATCCGGTTTCCATCGACTCCCCTTTAGGCTCGTCGGACCATTGTCTTGTCTGGTCTGTGGTGCCAGTCAACAATAACGTCGCGGTTACATTCTGCAGGCTGCCACCGTGTTGGGCACTATAGGTCAGCCGATTGAGATGGGATGCGGTCTTTTTTTGCATCCTTCTCTTGGGGGCGGGTTTGCTTCTCGCCGGACGATCCTAACGTTGTTGTACTGTCGCTGATGTGGTACTTCAAGGTATTGAACTTTTTATTCCGTTCTCTGTGGTGCCCATCGGAGGCAGATCCCAGCCATGGTTTGGGCGCTCTTGTAAAATAGCATCACGCTATAAGCAAGAGTGCTACCGGGCCCGGGTTCACGCATCAACGTCTCGAGATGTAAACACCAGCGCTCTTAAAAAGAAGTATAATTCCGCCCCCAGATCCTTCAAGAGTCATTGCCAGCGCAAGGTCTGAGCACATCGGCAGAATTGGCGAGAAGGTAGTTCGCCTTCCTTTGGGAACCCGTGCATTCTGGTCTCTCGCCAAGGCTGTCCAAGGGAACTTCTGTCAATCATCTCTACCATTTGTACACAGAGAAGACGACGCACTGGCCCATGCCGCAAAGGAGAAAGCCGATCTGTTAGGTCTCTCTTTGCGTCCAACTCAACTCTCGATGACTGGGGCAACACGCCGCCGACCATCCCGCGATGCGAGTGCTCCATGCCGGAGGTGCGGTTCATACAGTCGCTCGAGTGCTTTTCCAACCGAGCGCTGTATGAACCGCACTGTGGTTTTTTCAACTATCAACTAAAATAATGGAGTCTATTGTAAACAGCCAGCTCATGAGGTACCTTGAAGATCACCAGCTGATCAGTGACCGCTAATACGGTTTCCGTCGTGGTCGATCAGCTGGTGATCTTCTGGTCTACCTTACTCAGATGGGCGGAGGCAGTAGAGTCTAATGGGGAGGTATTGGCCGTTAGTTTGGACATAACGAAGTCCTTCGATCAGGTCTGGCACAAAGCGCTTCTTTCGAAGATCCCTTCCTATGTGCTTCCCGAGAAATTGAGCGATTGGATTACAAACTTTCTTGCTAATAGGAGCATCAAGGTCGTAGTATACGGTGCATGCTCTGATTACAAGCCTATTAACGCTGGTGTTCCACAAGGCTGCGTGCTATCACCAACGCTGTTTCTTCTGCATATCCATGGTATGTTGCAAACTGATAACATTCATTGCTATGCAGACGACAGCACTGGTGATGCCTTATACACCGGCCGTGCCAATATTTTTATGGAAATCGTCGCCGAGTACCGGGACAAACTTGTGTCTGAAGTCTAGTATTTGCTTAACAAAGTCTTGGATTGGGGGCGACTAAATCTAGTCCAATTCAATCCCCAGAAGACAGACACAAGTTTGCGCGTTAATCGCTAAAAAGAACCGCTGTCGTATCTCCTGCCTCAGCTAGCATCAGAATCATCGGCGTCGACATATCGAATAGTGTGCAGTTTTGTGGTCACTTGGAGGGGAAGGCTAAATTTTTTGAAAGACAATATTTCATGCCGGCACATCGCTTGCTACTTTACAAAGCGCAAGTTCGGCCTCACATCTTATACTGTTCTCATCTCTGGGCCGGGGCACCCTAATTCCAGCTCCTTCCACTTGACCGCATCCAGCGCAGAGCGATTCGAATATTCGATGACCGAGTGCTTTCTGATCGGCTCGGTTCACTGGCGCTGCATAGGGATGTTGCATCCCTTTGCGTTTTCTATCGTATCTACCATGGAGAGTGTTCTGAGGAATTTTTCGGATTAGTTCTAGCCGCCAAATTTCACGATCGCATATCGCATCAAAATTCCCGATACCATCCTCACCATCTGGATGCTTGGCGGTCCACTACTGTATGTTTTACTAGGAGTTTTCTTCCTCGTACAACTTCTCTGTGGAATTGTTTACCACTGGCGAGTTTTCTGGACCAATACGACTTAGGGACCTTCAAGAAAAGAGCTTACTCCTTTCTAAAACGCCGGCATCGCATCTGCAATTCCGCTGGTGCTGCGATTGTTCATGGGCGGCGTTAGTCACTTACCATCAGGTGAGCCGCATGCTCATTTTCCCCCTCTTCTATAAAAAAAATCAAAAAAAATTAATTTTAATAAGTTATATATATATATATATATATATATATTTTTTTTTTTTTATTGAAGTGCCTGTCTGTAATATCGAAAAACTTCCATATATTCAGATGCGGGCGTTAATTGCTTGACATTAAGACATGAATAACCATTTTTTAAATGTTTGTTTTGTCTGTCTGGTCTAATCTTCGGGATAAATGAACAAATTATAATAAAACTTTAAAAAAAATAAAGAGATGGAGTGATCAAAAACTGATAATATAAATGGTATTTGAATATTTTAAATTTAAATAATGCCACATTATTAATTTGCCTACCCAGGTGAAGCCAGTGCGGCTCGCTAATACATAATAAAATCGAATAACATTTATCTTATACTAACCTTTTTGACATTTTTTTCTTTGTAGACTTATCACAAGATAATTCATCTTTTATTTGTAATGCATTAGCAGTATCGATTTCTCTTTTATCACTGTCTAATACATCTGTAACAAGAAACTATTATCATATAATTTCAACAATTTGTCTGTTGACAGTTTATCTTGTCTACTGTTAGATTTTGGGCAATAACAAGTGCTAAAATTAAAAAATTTCTACAAACGACTTCAATAAACATAAACAATAAAATAAGAACATTATCAATGTAGTAGAAGTCAATTAAGTATGCATTATTAAGGATAACTCAAAAACTACTAATGAGATCTTGATCAAATTTATATGGGACCACATGAGAATCATCAGCTTTCAAATTAAAGAAAAGAATCATCAAATTCGGTTGTCCTAGAAAAAGTCCTGAATAACAGACATTAAAAAAAATACAGTCAAATTGAGTACCTCCTCTGTTTTTGAAGTCGGTTAAAAATAGACCTATTCTTGTTTTTTTATAGAATAAGGGTGACAATCGAGCACTCAGTTCACCTGATGTTAAGTAGATGCTGTGGCCTGCTGACATTTACATCTATCGTCGATTAAGAATCAAGACGCAGATGGGCTGTCACCCCTGAGGACTAAGATGGAATCCTCGTTTCCAGTAATATAAGGGTCTCTGAATCTCTACACTTACTATATGAAACACAGTATTATTAAGCTGCTATTTTACGCTGGTATTCTGTGAGAGCGTGGCCCTCCCCCGGTTGAGCCGACCCATTAGTGCTACAACCATAATATAGCCGCTATGAAAATTTCATATTGATTCTATAATGCCAAACTTCTTCAGAGAAAAGTAGTCTTTAAATATAAGTTTTTAAGGGTTATAGTACTGTGGGTGGGTGCAGTCTCATGAGACCGCAAGGGATTTGATGGAATATAGCCGCGATCTCATGAGACCGCTAGGGGATTGAGCGGTTAAAGCATAGCTACAAACTGCATGCAATGTAGTAGCATTGTAAGAGAATCCACCACCCCATATCATCCCATGGGTATTGTAAGAGGTGATAGAAGAAAACTGAAACCAGAGATGGGTGCAGCATCTTCCTAATTGTAGACTCAAGATAATAAAAACTTATGTGCAACCCCTTATGTGCAAGGCACATGTTATGTTAGGACTTTTGATGGTTGTAATTAACAATGAATGAATGAATGACCAATGGCAATGGATTGAAAATCGAAGAACCGAAAACTGAAGGGGAAAAAAAGGTTCTCGAGTGGCAGCCTAATAGTGGTAGGTGAAGTGTAGGGCAACCCCCCACTAGATGGAGTGATGACCTGGTAAGACATGCAGGATATCGATGGATGCGGGTGGCTCAGAACCTTGCTTTGTGGCATTCCTTGTTCAGCAGTGGACTTGTGAAGGGCTGTAATGATGAATGATGAAGGTGACCTAGACTCACTTGTCTTACCTAACCTACCCACATGTTTGATGTTTTATGATAAGATTGGAAATGGTTAAGATGCAGTGTCAGATACTCAGGAACATTATTCAGCTGGTATTCATACTCAGGGGTCAGGGCCTACAGCATACCCAGGTATTATGACCAATAGGTGTAACATAATTATTATATAAATGGAAAATATTAACCTCTCAGATCCTGACAATGTATTGGAATAACTCTGTAAGACCTATGGTCAGGCCAAGGTCAAATATAAATATACAATAATAGTTTTTTTTTTGTTTTCAAATCCAGGCTCTGTCTCTGCAAATTTATTCAATAGCACCATTGAATAAATTTGCAGAGAGCTACGTCGGCTTCTCAGGGCGATGTAATATTTGACAAACCATGTAGATGGCACTGTTACAGAATTATTTTATCAACCAAACATGGTTTATTTTTATATTAAAAACAAACCTTTGGTAGGTGTAGCCGAACATAAATTTGCCTGTCTGTCATTGCGAAACTGGGGCATCAAGAGGTGGTGTGCAGTTAAACATAACAAATTTAGGGTCGAAAAATTTATTCCTATCCTATTTCCTATTATTCCCAGTCCTAGTTCCTATTATTAGTTAGTTCCACCCAAACATGGGTGATTTGTATTAAAAAACAAACCTTTGGTAGGTGTAGCCCAACATAAATTTGCCTGTCTGTCATTGCGAAACTGGGGCATGAAGAGGTGGCGTGCGGTTAAACATACCAAATTTAGGGTCGAAAAATTTATAAGGAAGGTACATGAATCCTAATAATGGAAAATGCTTTTAATTATATTGAAGAAACGTAGAAAAATGTTGGCAGTCAGTTTGCTAGGGGCTTATGTACCTCCAGAGCGCGTCAAAGGGGTGTTATTAAAAAAAAATCATGAGGTTCATGAATTCAAATTAATTTATTTTAATAATTAAGCATAAAAAAATAATTTTCCAAATGGTAGACAGAAATGGGGGCTAAAGCCATGGCAGACGACAGAAAGTGCAATAGTACAGTGCCAAAATTATTGTTTACAAAATCATGAATTACAAGAAATACAGTATAATACTTACGGTTTTTACATGGCCCATCTTCAGTCTGTTCGGCTTTCACATGGCTCATTTCAAATTCATTGCTATACTCATCTTCACTAGCAATGTGTGAATCTACATCTATAGTCAACCAAACATTATTTTCAGTTTTTACTGATTTTTTACATTCTAATAAAGTATTTTGGGATTTAATACAAGTTTGTTTGAAATCGTACAGTTTCATAAGTAGTTCATAACAACTTTCACATATACCTTTAGGCAAGTCTTCATTCTGATGGACCTGATGAATTATACACAAATAAAAGTAAATAAAACCTCAAATATAACATATTATAATTTAATATTGCAAAAATGTTTAAGTATATTCTTACTTCTACTGATGTGCAATATGAGTACATGTTTGGTGAAACAATGTCGAATAGAAAATACTTGAAAGATTCTTTTGCAGTTAAACAGGCACGGCATATTTTGTTGAAGTACACCATTTCTATTATTTTCTAGTTGTGTCCCTAATGTTTAAGATTGTTCTAAAAGGAATCAGTCGAATCTCGATTTCCTGATCATTGAAGACTATTAATAATAAAAATAAAAATAGATTTTTAAAGGATTCTTCTCTAATAGATTCTCCAGTTACTGCCTATTTTCTGAGATGTTTGTAATTATCTTCTGCAATGTAAGTAATACATCCTCATCAACTCCTTCCAGCACTTCCAAGAGTAGATAACCAAACCACTTATGTTTAGTACTTTGTAAGTTTGTATGTAAACTTATGTATACCAAAACATCAAATAAAGCGAAAAAACTGTTGCAATAACTATATCTTACTTTACGCGTCTTTAATATATGCTAGTATCACAGAACACTATTACTCCTATCGGAGAAGAACGACAACTTCATACAAAATTTAAGAAATGATATATAACCACTAGCGCCATCTATCGTCAGCCTCCTGCACTTCTCGTGTGGCGGGAAAATTTGAATGTGGTCTTTTTTTTTATTTGAGGTATTTTTTGGGTTTCCTATCCCAGCGCTAAATAAAAGAACAAAAATTACAAAATTTCTATTTATTTATTCAAAATAAAAATACAAATTGAAATAAAAAACATACATAACTTAAGAAACAATTTCTCCAGCAGCTTAGTTCTTTCTATAAAGACATTTGATGGGTTTAAACATGAAAAGAAAATCAATAATGATTACAACATTTCAATTACTTAAGTAAACAATGATAAAGAATTGAAATAAGATTTACAATCATGGATGAATTGATAATATGCACAATGATTGTCTACAATAACCAAAATATCAATATTTTAATCTAAAACAAGTTAATTAATAAATAAGCTCCTACACACAAGTGCAAAGTGCAACATTCACAAATAATAATTGTGTTTTGATAATATTTGGTTGTCTATCTATTTCCCTGAATTGACACTAAAAATTTTGTCTCTATATTATATGCAATATATTAAGTATTGAATGCAGCTTATAAATAGAATAATTTTAATTCAAAATTATAAAACATATTAAATATTAGATTACAAAAATATTCCTTATTTCATTTTAAAAAATTTCATATAGAGATACATACTTTCTTTTTCAGGTTCAACATTATGTGTTATGCTTTGATGTTTGTGGTTGTTCTTCAGTGGATATAATGTTGTCCTTTTTGAAGATCCTGCTTGTGGTTTTGTAGCAATAATTTGCGACGGACCAGCTTGTGATTCCACAAAATAAAATGGGAATACACTTTGTTAGTCTGGAAATAAATAAAAACTGAAATAAATTATAGTAATGATTTCTTATATTTACGCGAACACTATACATGATTAAAACTACTTTTACGGATTTTATCGCGTTTATTTTTACTTTTTATTTACTTTTATTTTTAATAATATTATTAATAATATTAAAAATAAAAGTTAATAAAAAGTAAAAATAAACGCGATAAAATCCGTAAAAGTAGTTTTAATCATAAATTATAGTATCATAAAATTATTATATAAAATTAAATTAACATTATATTCATTGACATTACTTTCATAGTAAACCAGTCCCTGCTCATGGCACTACATTACCCTTCTACCAATACAAAATAAATGAATGGATCTTGTTCATCCAACTTGCTCTATAATACACCCACTATTACAATTAATATAACAAAATAAGATAGTAAATACAATAACTATGTGAAAAGAAATCTTGTTTATCTATTGTTTGAGAACCATTTGATGCATGTATTTCTACTGCGTTGTACAAGTTGTGCCTTTAAATTTGATAGGTTTGGGACCAAATGTAATTATTCATATATTGTGATGCCGGAACTTTCTTAAGGTTTGTTGTTGATTTAAAATAAAATTTGATTGTTAAAAATAATATGCAGTGTGTTGCACTTTTAATAATGTAAGGAAAGGCTTGTGCTAACTTTATAGACTTCAATCCTTTGGATGCTTTGTCCGATCCAATTATTATAAATTAGTTGAAAGAATTAACAGGATTCAAACTACTGTATGTGGTCTGTCCATCCATGTTAGATCCAGATGATGGTCATATGAATAATCATCATCTTCTTTACAGTCTATCAAAGTCCACTCCTGAATATAGTAATCCCCATATAAAATATCTGAGTAATCCTTAAAGAAAACTATATACATACCATATTACCATATACATTATACACTTTACTTACATCACATGGGACTGCAGTGCTTAAGAGCTTTTTCTTGGTTGCATCATTAAATTAACCATCATGAAAATGTTTTTCACACAGCATTCTGGGCTTATTATGTAGCTTTGGAAAGCTAAAGTAGTATACTGCTCTTGGGAAGGAATATAATATTTCGCCCATAATTTACAACTGAAAACAAAAGATATAATTATTAAATACAAATATTATCAAAGTAGGTTAAAACAAATTAATGGTTTACAAACCAATAATTTGTTTTTAAATGGTAAAAGAGAAACAATAACTTGGACAAGAGATTTACTTTAAGGTTAGAACTTATTAAATAGTGTATATGTATATCGTATACGTACCGCAAAATATACTTTACTGCGAATTTCGGAAACCTAAATAATTTAACGTTGTCAATGGTTGGTATGCTGTTGCACTTAGAACACTTTTTCTATTTTCTTTATCCGCCATTGCAGCGTAGATTTTAAGTCACTATTTCGTATTTCACTACGATTCATTGACTAACACATTGCACATCATATAAACGAAGGACATTAATCTCAACTCAACATCGTAAACTTGCAAAATCTTAGTAAAAGACACAAGCAAAACAAACATAACAACCAATCATGAACAACAATAATTTATACGGCGGCGCCATATTATGAGAAAAGAGCATAGATAAATAAATATGTAGCAAGCTAGAAAAGAGAAATGTATTTGGTGTTACCAGTAAAAAATATAATTTTCTACTCATTGAAAATCAAAACAAAAAGAAAACATTTATTTTTCTTTTACTGTCAAGGATATGCTAATATAATAATGTAGAAAAATACGACAGGCATAGTTATCTTCCTATTGATTATTATTTCTGTATTCAAAATTTTTGAGTGTAATTTATCTTTAGCAAAATCTTACTAATTATGAAACAAGACATTTATCTGACAAATGGCAATAATAAAATTCAGCCCCCGTAGGTATTTCATTCTGTCCATACAGAGTTGACCAGGCCTGGCTAGTATACATTCAGTAACCATAGATAAATAAATATGTAGCAAGCTAAGTTCAGTAACCATAGATTACTGTATATATACTAGAGTTCAGTAACTATTTACGCGTTTACGTGCTTGTCCTTGTTCTGTTGATAAATCATAGGGTATGTTCCGATCCGAAAATAGCTTGCTACATATTTATTTATCTATGATCCGAAATACCTCCGATAGGAGTAATAGTGTTGTGTGCGAAATACAACGCAGTGTACTGTCCAATGCTAGTATATATACAGTAATCTATGGTCCAATGCAAATGACGTCATGAATCGTCGCTATACTGGTGATTCGTTCCAAAACATTGGACAGTATATGACGTCATACTTTTGCGCCATTTGGAAAAGTGTTGGCGATTATTTTGTCATTTTGCGCTCCAAAAATCATTATATCCTCCTAATGGATATACCATCAATTATTCTATAATTTTTGTATTTGAATAAATAGAAACAAATTCTGGCATGCTTCATTCGGCAAACACACAAATAAAAATTGTTTTATTATGGTCGGATATCCGACACAATATGGCGGCGGCACGGTAGTACAATAAAGTGTCAAATGATGACGTCATTTGCATTGGACAGTACACTGCGTTGTATTTCGGAACATACCCATACTGTCAAACAGCGTTGCCAGATGCCTTGAACCTTTTATCTGTATTAGGAACTGCCAAAATCTGTTTGCTATTTAAACTTAAAATCTGTATAGTTAAATAAACCAAAATAGATACTTATAATTGATCATCATCCTGTTTCTTTCGAAAAACAAGGATAACTACTAACGTGACAAGGTTTGATTATCGTTATTAAATAAAAATATACACAAAAATTTTTATATAACAAAATTAAGACCATTAATTTAAACAAACAACATATTAAAACTCAAACATTTGCAACAAACGAACTAATAATTACTTTATTATTTTCAGTCATACATAGTTTATAGTATAATGGTGACCTTTTCTACCGTCTGGAAAAAAATAAGGTGTAATATGTTAACGTAGTAGAAGCCTAGCACTGACATATTGCAAAAAATAGAAACAAAAACTTTGAATTAAATAAATAAATTTTTTAAAATCTATCGAATTTCAAATCATATCCATCCTATTTTACGAACGGCAATAAAACAATATATTCAAACCCCACTTTGAAGCTTTAGTATCCCGTCTGCGAAAACTCATATTTATATTCAGAACCTTAAACATATAGCAGAACGATGTGTTATAATGTTAATTTACTTCGCTTTATGTCAATCTCTGATTGAATATTGTATAACATCATGGGGAGGAGGTGCCAAAACATATCTTATAGAAGCAGAGAGAGCACAACGTGCAATTCTCAAAGCAGGTGCTGGTCTCCCTTTCCATTTTCCTACAGACGAGCTGTATAAAAAATGGGATGGGGTTAGACAAACCTTCATCCTGCATATCGTACTTAAACAACATTCTCATCTACATTATAACCCAGATTTTCTTAAGGATAACCGCCGCGAAGATATAATTTGCAAAACTCAAACTTTCAACTCAGCTCTTTCACGTAAGTTTTTCTGCTTCATGGGACCCTTTCTTTATAACAAACTAAATAAAATTTTAAACATATATCCCAAAACCAAATCTAGTTGTAAAATAACATTGACAAAATTCTTAAGAGTACAGCGCTGAAGATAGCAGAATAAAAAATAGAGATTGTGGTGTTTGAAATTTGTCATCTGTGAGAGTGAATTTTATCTGTGTACTCTGTAACAAATAACTATATAGAAAAAAATGTGAAAATGACATTTCGCCATTTTTGTTTGTGTACTGGTTAGGAACTTGATCAAAAATTTGATAATTTTTCTGTTTTTATACGTTATTTCTAATGTTATTTTACATCAAATCAATTGTAAAGATATTTTCTTTAGGAAATATGTTTCATTACGACGATTCAAAAACGTTTACATATAATAATTTACCTCGAAATTCACTATACGCGATTATCGTTTATTGATTATATTATGTTGTTTAAAAAGTATTCCTATCAGCTTTGTGTTAAATGGATGCTAAATATAAAAGAATGCTTCAGATAACAATTTATAAACGAAATATCTGTTGAGATGTGTCTAGAAATTATTAATACTTATTTTTATTTATTTATTAAAATAATAAATAAATAAAAATAAGTATACATTTATCTGTATTGAGTACTAGTTTTTCCCCGCGATCTCGCCCACGTGGAATATGGATTTCATGGGTTTTAATTTTTTTTTAGCGCGTTTTGAACCCTAATTCTTTTTCTAAAACAAAAGTAGTTCAAGTTATTCCTTATATCATCAGCTATCTGCCAGTGAAAGTCCCGTCAAAATAGATCCAGCTTTTTCGGAGATTAGCTGGAACAAACAGACAGACAGTCAGACCGACAGACAGACAAAAATAATACTTTCATATGCATTTAATAAATAGCTGTTATTTTAACATTACAAACAGACACTTCAATTTTATTTATTTGTAGATATAGATATATTATTCATATTGGTGTCATTTTAAAGGGAATATCATGTACTATTATAATAATAAAATAATTGTCTCCTGTAAATATTATACTTTTCTTGTAAAACTCGAAATAAGTAACAAATAAATACGATTTATTTTTATATTCCCATATGCTTTATTTTCATCCTTTATTTTTTATTTGACCAATTTTCTTTTAACAAAATTAAATTCTGAATTCGTTGAGCTTTTTGAAAATATTTTTATTTGAATGTTAGGTAGGTACCTATTTAGTTTTTCGGTAGTAATCGTTTTTGTTGCGACAGTCTCGCGCGGTCGTAAAAAAAAGTTACTGCGCGGACAGGTGGGACGAGAATCACTTGCGCGGCGTGGACGGTGGATAGGTACCTACCTACTGTTATTACCTAGATACCCACAACCTACTATACAACAAAATTTGCATGACCACCCGGGGAAAACAAAACATAATAAAATAAGCAATCTATATTAGGTATCTATAGAGCCATAGAGGTATAGTATAAAGCGATAACGCAGCGTCTAATAATTTAGTACGAGTTTGTAGGTAGGTACTGCTGATTTCTCAGCAAGCGTCGAGCGGCACAGAATAGGGTGGTATGTATGTGTGCATCGTGTTCGTGTAACTTCGTTTTTGTTGTAACAGTTCGGAACACCGTACGAACAAGACGTGCGTTCTAACTGCTCTTCACTGATACTATCTCTGTCAGGCACGATGCCAGGTGAGACAACGTGCTTTTTGGCCGCGCCCACCAATGAGTTCGAGCCCGCGACTTGTGCCGCCTTAAGGTATAAAGAGCAATTTTTCATTTTGTGTTGTGCGATTTTCTTTCTCAATCTAAAAATCATTTAGCAACATCAGCATCATATGAAACCCCCATTGTCATAAGAGCGTGATTCCCTTGGCCTACGCCTCGCCATAAAATATTTTGAATCGATGTCTGTATATTTTGGTTAGATCGATTTTGAAATCGATACACAACGTGCGACACGGCTACATCTCTAAGAAAGTTTCAAAAGGAAAGGTCAGCTACGCCGTTGTCGTCCAGTCGTGACAGTGACGTCATCACGATGGAGAGTAGTGTTGTGGTTTAGTACTATTTTTTTGTTATTGTTTGTTTTTTATTTATGTACAAAGTACATATATAAAAAGAGTGGAAGACAGCACAAGATTAAATAAAACATACCCGATTATAAAGAGTCATTTATTGTATAAAAAACCAACAAAACCAGTTATTTTGTGTTATCGATATATCAACTCTTGGCAGCACTGTTTTTTTCGTAGGTATTTTTGTTTACTTTTCGCTTTGGCGTACAGGACACGGTAGTGAGTTTTTGGCGTGGGGCTCAAAAGGTTAAAAGTAATTGTAACAAATCATTTACTGTGTTTCATCCTGTTAACTCTAGTTGCGTAACTCGAGTTTAGTTCGAGTTGTGTGAATTTCAACTCGAGTATTTTTTTATTATGTGCGAGCAGCTATTCAGGTCTAGGGAAAGAGACCAGTATCACCGCGACCTAGAAGATCTATTGTGATCGCTGCTATGGCTGTAGGACACGGCTAAGCCCTATATCTTCAATGAATAGAAGGAGTTGTTTAGCCGTGAGCAATTTCACTTCTTCTGGGCGGAGTAGATAGTTTCCCAGATGAGTTTTACGTTTGTGCATTAAGGGTACGCAATCAGTTAGGATGTGCAGAGGCGATCTTCCGTTGTGGAACAGAACCGACACATCCATGAGTTGCATAGTCCCAGGATGGACACGTGCTTTTAAAACAACAGTGTCCAGTTAGGGCTCTTGCCAAAATGCACAATTTATTTTTACTTAATCCCAGGGCTTCTGAGGCAAATT